TCAGGAAAACTAATGGAAATCACCTACAAGGATAAGATGGAAACAGGAAAGTATCAATGAATGGAGAAGTGGGAATGTTGGAAATCACCCACAAGGATAAGATGGAAACAGGAAAGTACTGTATCAATGAATGGAGAAGTGGGAATGTTGCACTCCGCAGAACAGAGGAGATACAGAGACAATGTATCCAGTTCTAACCCAGCATGACAGCTATTAGCAAGTACTGTATGGGAAAGTTGACTACGGGGGAGAGTTTATAGCACGGAATATACAGTACCCGGGGAGAGAATTTAGACTAGAACATTTGGGAGATGGATAGATTTAGTATGAATTTTATTATTACTATGATACTTTATTTTAGTGGGAATTTATGGACATATATGAAAGACACTTTTGCTTTTGTTCATATATGGAATGCATCAGTCTCAAACACTATTTGTAAAATAATTATAAAGTAAGCAATTAAAAATTACAGAAGAAGACTGACATATCTTAGGAAGCCTGCAATGTGGGGGCTCTTGACTACCTTTGAAGATTTTCACCTGCAAATAAAATTATTTCTGCAACACAGAAGATTATGGAAGTTTTAACAACCAAACCCTGCTTCAGTTTTGTCTTGCACCTAAACCACTTTTCTAATCCTACATTAATGAAAGTTCATCAAATAAAATATATTATGTTTTCTTAGATCTCTTACAGCTTGGGGCCAACACACCAATAATGTTCAGAATGTTAATTAATCTGTCAAGCGCACACAACTGTAAAATATAATGTCTGCTTTTCATATTTCAAAGACAGCCTTCACTTTAAGACTGCATTCCCCTTTTTCCATGCCAAAATCAGCCCAACTTCATCATGAATGTGCTTGATATTCTTATCCCAACTTACCAGCCTCTTTTTTTTTCCTGACTACAGAATATCACAGTAGAAGTTACAGTCCTACCGATGAAAATCTTGTGACGGATGTTCCTTGTGTTCCCAATATCTACAGAAGAGTATCATTCTGGTAACTCCAAGCACTTTAAGTCACAAACATGGATTGAACAAAGATGCTTGTGATACAGGATGGAACATGGAGGAAAGCTGGTATCAATAATTCAAGATTCCCAATGGCACAGTTGAACTTTTCAACTTAGAATGGCAGCAGACGGTGAGCAGTGGCATTGGGGAAAACCAATGCTTGAATATAGAGGATGTGCCAGATTCAGGCAGAACAGCAAAAGATGTGGCTCTGAAAAAATCCACGGTGGTTACTGAGATTAAAGTGTGAATTAGTAACTTTGAGTGAATACTATATTTGGATTTCAAATTGGTCATCTATCACTTAAAAGAAGAAGAAAAAATCTTGCAGCACCTTTAAAATTAATTAACTTATTTTGGGACAAGCTTCAGTGAACTGCCAACTGCATGAAACCTTATGTTCAGTTAGTATTTTCAGATGCATATATAACAGGTAGATGCAGACATGAGAAAGGAGTAGTAATAGTTACAGGAAGTAAGGCAAAGAATGTCCCAATAAGCAAGGGATAAAAAGTAAAAATCCAAATGATGCCCCCATCAAAAAGGGCAAAATTCTCCAGTAGACCTGATGTGACCTACCTCTAGCTTGGTGTTGTTATTGTTACATGCCATCAAGTTGACTCCAACTTATGGTGATGCTATGAATAAAAGGTCACCAAAATGACTTGTCCTCAGCAGCCGTGCTCAGATCTTGCAAACTCAAGCCTGTGGGTTGATTTAGGGAGTCAATCCATCTCATTTTTCTGCTACTTTCAACCTTTCCCAGCATTATTACCTTTTCCAGAGAACCCTGCCTTTTCATGGTGTGCCCAAAGTGGGACAGGCTCAGTTTCAACAGCTTTGCCTCCAGGAATACAGTAGTTCAGGTTTCATTTGATCTAAGATCCATTTGTTCATCTTTTTCAAACAAATCAATTTTTTCCCTGTCCACCTTTTTACTGTCCAGCTTTCATACCCATACATGATCAGGAATACAGAAGTGTGGATGATCTTAGTCATGGTCTCCACTGACACATCCTTACATTTGATGATCTTTTGCATTTCCTTCATTGCTGCCTTCCCAAGTCTCAATCTTCTTCCAATTTCTTGGCTTGAAACCCCATTACGGTTGATGATTGAACTAAGCTATACAAAATCATTCACTATTTCAATTTTTTCATCGTCGACATTAAAGCTGTGTAGTTCTTTGTCATGTTCAACTAAAATCCTGCTTTGGTATGTTTTTCTTTGACTAAAAGTCATTCATTCCAAGTCATTGCTGCTTTCAGTCATCATCTTCATGTCTTATGGATCAAATTATTCATGTTTGTTCCACCAATTTTCATTCCATCTGAATCTAGTGCAGTTTTCCATATGATAGGTTTTCCATACAGACTGAACAAAAAGAGGGATAAAATGCACCCTTGTTCGACATGTTTGCCTAAAGGAAACCATTTTGTCCTAATGGTAGCTTCTTGTCCAAAATACAAATTAGACATCAAGGACACTCAAGTGCTAAGGCACAGCCATTTCTTTCAGAACAACAACTAGTTTCTCATGATTCACATAGTCAAAGGCTGTGCTTCTAATAGATCATGGAAAGAACTTCAAGGAAGTTGTAGATGACAGAAATTTAGTTATTGATGTGTGTAGTAGTTTTAGCGACAAAAAGGAAGGGAAAAAGTGAGGAAGGGAAAAGTGACCTAGATTTACAATACTAGGTTACTAGGGTGCAAGGCTAAATTCCTGACGACTTTCTGCCCCTACATCCAGTTTCCCTAATCCACCCAAATTTGATAACGTCAACTCTACATAGCGACTGCCAAGGATACCTCTTTGAAAAAATCTGCATATGAATTCCAGGTAAGTAACCAAGGTCGATTTCTGCCCAAAGCAACTAGCACGTGAGGCAACTAAATAACCAATTAACGCGAATCTTACAGTTTAAGCAGGAATCTTGTGTTTCGACCTACGATGGGCTGGCACGCCCCTGTATATAAAGGCGAGAGGGCCAGCGACAGAGATTACTACAGATTTACCCGCGGGAAGGCAAAAACGACGCTGGACCCCAAGGACTCCCCAGCAAGAGTGCAATATCCGATTTTCCGTAGGACAATGGGTAAGTGGCATTCATTGGGAGGAGGTTGAGGATATATTTGCACAGCAAGATATGACTTGTTCATGGGTTAAGTAGCTAAATACTGTAACACAGGAGCGAAACGTCCCGAAGATGCGCGGGTTGCTCGATAGGTAGAGGGCGGGAAGACGAAATTTGAACTGCTTGGCGAGGGCGAATAGGCCCTCGTCTTTCATTTACACCCGAGGACGAACTTGAGCGGGGAGACCGTTGCCTCCAGAGCTTGTTTCTGGAAGAGATCAAGCCCTGGCAGCCAATCCAGGGTGGCGCCTTATTAATTTTGGTTTGTGAATGGAAGTAGACCGGGAACCGGGAGCGGGAAAGGAAAGTTCCCGCCGCCGAAGAGCAAATGTGTGCCTTTCTCCTTCCCGCCTTTTGCAGAAAGGCCGGTTTGTGGCTTTTCTCCTTGGCCCGATAACTTTGTAGCTGGGCCGTAGAGCGGGGCAACGAAGGCGGCGGGGGAGAGGCCCGGGACCGGGTCAACAATCCGTTCTTGTGGGGCGGGGAGGGAGAAGGCAGATTTCATCGGCCCTCGTGTAGGGTTTGGTTTGCTGGCACGAGATGGAGCCGACGAAAAGGGCGGCTTTTGGAGCTCACCCTACTAGGCGTCCCCTCTGCCGCGTAAGCGACATGGTGGCCAAGAAGCCTGGCCTTCCACCTTTCCCACAACAAGCTTAAAGCAACAGACGCCTCTCTTTTTCCCCCTCTCTTTCCTGGGGGGCGGCGGCGGCGAAACGCCGTGACGCAGGTCGGGCTGAGGAAGGCAGGCCGGCCTGAGGTCCTCCATGCCGCTTCACAGCCTTGGACGGCGTGTGTGCGTGTGTAAGGGCCTCAGGTCGGTCAGACTCTCGTCTCTCCACATACACCCCTCCGTTCCCCAACCGCTACACGGCCATTTTCTCTCGCCCACAACTCTTGGGCCTTTTGAGCGCTAGCCCGCCGGCCCCAATTCCTGCTCGTTTGTTGGGGGTCACGCGAAGGAGGAGGTCGAGAAGGATTCCTGCGAGGCGAGGGCGGCACCCCCACCCCTCGGGCTCCTCCACCCAGGTCGTTAAGATAAGGGCCAACATGGCGACGATTTCCCGAAACCAGCCTTTTCTCTACCCTAATCCCATCCCGGGCGGGTCCAGCCGAAATACCTTAGCCGGCTTCCGCCCGGGGGGCAAAGGCAGCGGAGGGGGTCGCCTGGGATGAAAAAACAAGCAACCCTGCCCTTTTCCAGTCCCCTCTCCTTTTCCAACCAGCTGTGGACTAAGGGGCGGCGGCAGAGAAGAAGACAGGCTAGGTCGCTTTTCCACGGTTGTCTTATTGTTATGCACGTGGGGCTGCCCTTCTTTATGGCCGCGTGGTTTGCTGCTTGGTGCTCCGTCCAAAGACAAACAGCGCCTCCCGGGCTTCGAAACGGGCACCCATCTTTTCCCTTGACTTCCGTTCCCAAAGGTGGGCTTCGGTGGGCCTCAAGGCCCCTTTAAAGAAATAATAATAATAATCCAGACGTTTCGCATCTAAATCGGTGGAGAGAGGGCTCGAATGTACGAGAACGAGCTGTCTCATGAGATCGGTTTTGTCAGGGGCTGGAGGGTGGGGTGGGGTTGGAGAGTCTCTCTGTCTGGCCTCTCTCCCGCCGAGGGCGACCTTTGCTGCTGTCGATGTTGCTCACCTCGACCTGCTCGCTCCTGCCCCCCCCCGCTGCCGCCGCCTTTGAGGGCCGCCGTCTCTCTGAAAAAGATGGGACCCGCGGCACGTCGGTCTGAAATACATTGTACGTCTTGCAATTTCACAGGCGCTGGATCCGATTTGGCGTGCGGGAGGGGAGAAAGAGAGAGACCCCAAACACCTGGAAAAGTCGGCATTGGTCCCACCTAAAAATTAGGTTTCGTGGTGCATGTTATGCCAGGATAGGCGGGAAGTCGTAGAGCCGGTTGGGTCAGGAAGATAAAATTATTTTGTAGGATCTCCTCTCTCGGCCCTAGCGGCTCCTGGAGCAACAGGTTAGGAACCGTGTAGAAGAGAGAGGCCGTTCTTTCATCTCATTTTCCTACACGCGAAACGGTCCAGACGTCGTGCCGGTTGCTGCCATTGTTTGTAACTTTTGTCATAATAAAAAGGGGGTTGCCTAATGCGCAACTTTATTCCTACGGATGGATCACACGGGCTACTTTAGCTGTTCGGACATAAATAAATACACACACAGCAGTGCGAGAGTCGCTGGCTTTTTACATCTTCAAACGAAGATGTGCTCCGGAGATTGGGCAGTTCTTCCTCTTTTCTAAGGATCCTCTGGGGAAAAAAATAACTGAACCGGACAACGTCATCATATCAAGAAGTCGGAGCTTTCCCGCTTCTTTCCTACGCCTTTGAGGTAGATTGCTTCTCTTGCAGCTTATTCACCCACCCGTATTTGAAGGAGGGTTGTCATCTGTTCTTCTTGGGTAGTTTTGTGTTTGCACCGATTTTTTTTTATAAATAGAGAAAAGTGTGTGTGTGTGCGTGGGCGCGCGCGCGCGCGCTTGCTCACCCAAACACACTCTGAGGTTTGCACGTGAAATCGATTTCATAGGAATGCATTGCAAAAGGCCACCGGCTTCTGCTCTCCCTACCACCACTACCACTACCGCCTCCGCAAAGGGGCCAGGGCCGCAGTTGTTGGAAGCCCTGCTTACTCCTCCTCCGTCTTTCTAGATGACTGGGAGCCACCATCTCCGCTCTTCCCTTTTAAGTCCGTTTCAGGAGACTGGGAGAGGCAGTTCACCTTTGCGGCAGCGGCGGAAATGGAGATAATGGGCTCTCTTTTTTGGTGTTTTGTCCTCTTTTTCACCTGTGCAGTGCTGCTGCTCTCTCCTACTGCCTCATATAATAAAAGCAAAAACTGTCATGGTGGTTGGCCTTGGTAAAGCAAGGACGGACAAAGCGCTGCTACCCCCCAGATAGTTTTTGCAAGCTGTCCCCCCCACATAGCTGTTTCCCCTGTTTTCACACTGGTAGAGATAAATCATATCAAGTTTCTATCACACAGTAGCTTTATCTGTTCAGTTTTTTAAATACTGTATTCTTAACTGGCATATGTTAGACACATCTGGTAGATCCTGTTGTGTGGTTTAGAACAGTGGTTCTTAACCTTTTAAATACTGTATTCTTAATTGGCATGTTAGACACATCTGGTGGATCCTGTTGTGTGGTTTAGATACAGTGGGTTATTCAGGTGTTTTTGAACTGCATCTCCCAGAAACCCCGGCCAGCACAGCTGGTGGTGAAGGCTTCTGGGAGTTGCAGTCCAAAACCCCTGAGTAACCAACCCAAGGTTAAGAACCAGTGGTTTAGAAGATACAGAAGTGAATAGACAGAAGGAAGAAAAAGTGGTGAAACAGCTGTGTATCATAAAAATGGGGGCATGTATTGCAGATTAAATTGTGGTTCTGTTTGGTTGACAGATGGTAGAGATGGGTGGGGGAGGAAAAGGTAGACATGAAAGATCAGGAAAACTCTTGCTTAATTCAGGAACATATGGTACCCATGAATTGATTTCTGTAGGGGTGGCCATTTCGTGTTACTCTCAGTGGCACTAACCTAATGTTCGCATCAGCACTTTAGTGTAGTGAGTGATCAATTATCAAGAAGAGTTACAGTCCAGCAATCTCTGGAGGGCACACTTTCAACTTCATTATTTGGGCTATTTAGATTTGCAGATAACCAATGGCTTTACTGAAGTTTCTTCCTTACCCATCCTCTGGTTCATGAATCCACATAAGAGGAATACTGTACCTCTACATTTTTCAGGAAACATGGAAGTAGGTGTTATTTAACTGAGAACAGCTGTTAAATAGATTTATGGTTTTTACCTCAGTTTATTTCAACCCACAATAAATGTTAAGAGCTTGGTAGATGGTTGTTTAAACCAGAGGAGCCTTCATTTTGTTAGCATGTTGACCCCAGCATCCTCTCCCATCCACTTAGCTTGTATATTCAATGCCAAAAGGTTAAACACACAACTATGGTTAATAATTGTTTCCTTTCACCAACTGTTGATCAAACCATCTTCTAAAGTAATAGCAAAAGTTTTGATTCCCTTCCCAGTATGCCTCTCAACTCATGGTAACAATCTTACTCTTACAAAAAAAAGTATCCAATCTCCTGTTTCCCAAAGGAAACCTGAGGCAGCTTGGTGAAATATTCATATCTAGAAAGAGAAACCCGAAGCAATTAAGCAACACAGGTCGGAAAAACTGCTCCCTTTTAATATTTCACTGGCTCTTTGTTGCCTAATTGTCAGCAACTTTGAAGCTGGAAGAGTGAGCCCTCTTGTCATGGAAGCCTTGTCTCTTTCTCCCCCCCTCCCCACAAACATAGGTTGCTGTACACAAGGTCAAGAGTTCAGTTAAGGTGATATGTGGGCAGAGCATTGGAATTAAGAAGCTGACATTACAGAGTTAAGCAACAAAGGTTTGCTAGCAATAGTCAGGCTACGTGTAACTCCTTTTTTGTTTCCTCCTTGATTACATCAGGAGAAGCATGATTAGGATGGCTGGTTTGGAAATTATCTTCTTTCTGTTCAGCTATAAAAACAGTTAATGCTACTAGTGTGAAGGGGGACCATCTTCTGCATTTCACATTCCCCTCCTTGTTATCTGAGTATGTGATTACGCAACCAGGGAAATGTGAATTCACACTGGACAAGTCGGGTTTTCTGCGTCGGCTTGCATTTAGTGGCCACAGGAGGACAGAGGAGGAAGTTGATTGACAGCTTTCTTTGTAGCTTCTTATCTAGCTCATTTGTAGCCCTGCAGGAGACATAGTTACAAGGAACTACCTAATAAGTTCTAAACACCGGTTGCATGGCAATTATCTCATCTCAGTTCCTCCAGGCCTTTTTCAGAGACGTCTAGGTACCCTTAGTTGCAACGGCCCTGGCACCGAGCTGTTTTAAAACCAAATAAGTGGGTTTTGCCCTATGCCAGCCACCACACTGCTGCATCAACCACCAACACACACCTATCTACATAGATTCAATCAATCACACTGTCTGAACCAATACAAATGGATTATTTTAAAAATAAAGTACCCTCAGTGGCAGAGGGGAAAAATGACTTTTTTATTCATTCATTTTCCCTAGTGATAAGTAAATACTGTAAAGAGGCTTGAGAAGAGAAGCAAAGTTTAGTAAGAAAGATCAATAACATGGGAATGACTTATATTCTCCCCTAGTGATATGTTTCTAAGTTGTGTTTTTCATAGTTTCAAGCTGTTTTAAGTTAGGCCTGTAATTCTGTTTTAATATTTGACTTTGTTTGGTGTTTTAGCTGTACTTCTTAATCAGTATTACATATTGACTCCCACTCTGAGGTAAAAGGGGGTATATATTTAATAAATACATAAAATACGTAACAATTGATTTAAGTGTGTAAGTGCTTCTAGAACAATAATGGCAACTGAATTCAGCATGACTTATTCCCAAATAAATACCTATAACTTGTAAAATGCAAAGGAATAGATCCCTTTCAAAACTGGGGACCTAAGGTGACATGATAAAAAAAAGCAAGCAAAGCACTTACTATAATTCATGGGTGGGCAACTCATGCCCCTACAAAGGTTGGACTGCAACTCCCACCATCCCTTTATCACTGCTTGTGCTGACTAGTTCTGATGGGAGCTGTAACCCAGCACCACCAGTTGCCCACCCCTTTTCTAAGCATTAAATTCTGCAGCCTTCCATGACAATAGACAGACCTTCCATTCAAAACCGCTTTTGTTAAGATTAACCAAAAATTTTAAAGTGATACTTTTATTTCAGAACCTGCTTTAAAAACACACCCATCTTAGAGCTACGGATTTTAAGCATAAGAGCCAGAATGCCCAAGTTCTCCTCAGTTGCTCCTTCAGAATTCTATCATTCTTTCCTAAGGCCAGTAGGCAACACATCAGCAATCCTCCTTTGTTTCATTACATATTGGAGCACCTCAGGCATGGGAACTTAGCAGACTCTGTATTGTTAACAGTTTAGGTCTGTTTTCTTCAAGGGTTTTCCATCTGGGGCACACAGATTCTGGGGCTGAACTTCACCCAGTGGTCTGAAGATAAGTTGACCATTTTAAGAGACAGCTCCAAGACATGTTGGTAGCTGCGATATTCAGACCATTATCCTATGGCAGTTTAAAAACCGCTACTGGTGACAAACATAAATTGTCCATTCAGATTAAGACCATACACATGCAGTGCATGCATTTATATGATTCGTACATCAATGCAGCAGCATCTGTTCACGCCTGTCACTTTGGAAAGCATGCTCTCTCTGGCTGAACTATGTAGTTGTCATAGCTTGGCCTAAGAAGTTTGCTTGAGACTTGTGGGATCTAGAATGTGTAGTTGCCTAGCAACACCACTGCTATTCCTGTAGGCCAATTAGAGACCCATAGGAGAAAAGGTACCAGAAATGTATCACTGCTTCATAAACTTCTCTATATACAATAAATTTCTTCACATTAATGTTTCTTCCCTCTTGTTTGAATTTCAGATGCTTACACAGAAATAGAAGCCATGAAAGAGACGACAACTGTGCATCTGAATGACACCGAAAGGCCAAAATCCAGCAGGGAGAAGTTTCTTCAGGCATGGAATGAGAAACCGGAGTTCCAGAAATGTCCCATTGTGTCTTCTCAAGTTCCAGAGGGTCAGACAGCTACTGGCATCCCAATCCAGACAAAGGGGATCCAGGATGAAAAGCACCAGTCACATTTACTTACAAGGAACTCTCTGGATGCCAGTGAAAATGCTGTTTACTTCCTGGCCATGCCAGCTTCTCCCCACGGTCAACTTGATGCAAGCTCTGAGGCAACGGAGCCTGGCTCCCACCAGTTGCCTGCAGCTGCCTCCTGTAGTCCTCCAGAAAAAAGTGACAAAGAAGAATTCCTCAAAATCTGTGTTTCAGATTTATTGCTTGAGTCCCCAGCGAGGAAGAGGCCAAGGCTGCTGCCACCTAATAAGAAGATGCACGTGGAGGTGCAGAAAAATCAAGACCCCCATCTACCTGAGGAGAGTGCAAGAAGCGCTGCCCCCCTGGGAAATACCATGAAGATGAGCCCTCCAGCCAACCCTCCTGAGGCAGAATCCGTGCATCACAGTCCCGAGCCAAAGCAACACAGTCCCAGTCACCCACCGGCAGAAGGCCCATCGCCTTCTGGAGACACAGAAGCTTCCGCTTGCCCTCAACCTGCCGAGATAAATCAAAAGCAACCTCAGCACTTGAATCAGGAGAGAAGCCCTCCCCTCCCTCGCCCTGTGATAGCAACCCAAGAATACATGGGCTTTCCTCACATTAGCTGCCTCCCACCAAAGAAGCGATACACCAAGACCTGGTGCCTCTAGGATACGTGCTGTAAAATTGGCAATTGATGAAGAGTGGCCAGTACCAATGCGTTTTTTTTAAAAAATCCTGATAATATTTGTATTATTAACCTCAGACCGACAGAGAAGCTTAATAAAATGCTATTTCTGTATTTTTAAAATAAACCATGTTCTAAATTTTTTTCATTAAAGAGTTTTTAGCAACGTCAAAGGCACAGTGTTGTTTGTTCATTCTGTCTGCAGCAGCAGATGCTTTGAGATAAAGTCAACTCAGAGGAAATTGCAGAGTCTCTTCTGAACTGGAAGCCAACGGTGCTGTTGTTCAGCACCCATTTTTAGTATGACTTACACAGTGGTGTCTGTGTATTGATTGTGAACCTAGTTTTGGCTTCCTAATTTAAAAAAAAAACCCCTGCAAACAAATATTTCACAACTGTCCAAAAAGAGCATCCTAATTGAATTGCAGATGTTGAAATGAAGAGGCTCATCATGGCAGTCTCCAGAGCTCTAAGGAGAACCCCAGAATGCAGGCTGTGATGGTGAGCCCCATCAATAACATTCTGCTGGTTTTAATCACCACCAGGCACAAGTCTGCACAAGCACAAGCTAATGTATCTCAATGGCCCATTCAAGACCAAACCACTCCAAATACAGTGGTGCCTCGCTTGATGACGTTAATTCGTTCCAGCAAAATTGCTGCAGAACGAAAACATCGTCAAGCAAAATTTAAAAAACCCATTGAAACGCGTTGAAAATGGTTTAATGCCTTCCAATGGGTGAAATACCTACTTGTCCAGCGAAGATCCTCCATACGGTGGCCATTTTCTGGTGCCTGTAATTCGAGGAATCCGTCCCTAACACAGCGGGGAGCCATTTTGAAACCCGACAATCAGCTGTTTGCTGATCGTCGTAAAGCGAAACATTGGTTCCTGAAACAGGGACCTGAATCAATGTATCGTTCAATGCCTTCCAATGGGTGAAATACCTACTTGTCCAGCGAAGATCCTCCATACGGTGGCCATTTTCTGGTGCCTGTAATGCGAGGAATCCGTCCCTAACACAGCGGGGAGCCATTTTGAAACCCGACAATCAGCTGTTTGCTGATCGTCGTAAAGCGAAACATTGGTTCCTGAAACAGGGACCTGAATCAATGTTAAGCAAAATTCCCCCATCTAAATATCATTTTGCAATCGCAAAAGCGATTGCAAAAACTTCAATGTTAAGTGGATTCATCGTCAAGCGGGGTATTCATCCAGCAGGGCACCACTGTACTTGCAGCAGAGACAGCTAACAACAGTACATGGGGTATTCATCTAGCAGGGCACCACTGTGCTTGCAGCAGAGACAGCTAACAACAGTACATTGTTACTTGGAAAGGTTTTCCTCTGCCACCACCTGCATCTTCTGTAGACTGCAAGTTAAATGGTCAGTTTCCATAAGTTTTATTTGGCACAAACATCCAGAGACTACTGGTGAAGTGGGTTACAGTCCATGGAAGCTCATGGCCAATGAAACTTGTTAGTCTTTAAGGTGCCACATGCTTCTTTGTTGCTTTCCTGTCTGCTGCCATTCTCCTATTTCATGTGTTTTAAGCAAGGACCCCAGTCCTTTCCAGAACTGGGGATTTTCAACATGGCTTCCAGCAAGCCCTTCCTGTTTTCCCTCCTCGTCTTTCAGGAAAGTATGTTCTCCCATCCACAATACAAAGCAAAGCCTTTATTCCTCCAGGCCATAGACCTGTACCTGTGAGATGGGATGGGCCCAGAGCAGCTCCCTCGTTGACCTTCCAGCATACAGTTGTTTTATAGATGGGAGAACTGGGTCTGAAAGGTGCAAGCAGGATTCAGTGCAAATGGCCTGCAACGGAGAGAGGTTGGGAGGTGGTAAGTCAGCCAAAGAGCAGCTCCTGCTGCTTATCTAAAACCATGTTGCAAAATCATGTTTAAAGTCAACTTGGCTCCCATTATGGGATATAAATGGAATAAACCAACTGAGCCCTATTGGACCAAGCTCATCATGGGCTTGGTTCTATAATTGTCTCCCTTAGCTCATTGCTTACTTTTCCCTTTAATATGATCAATGACAATTTAAAGTAGATAAAAAATATATGGCAGAAATCATATTGCACAACTTTTTGCTGTGTAAGGCTACTGACATTATGGGAAAGCTGTTGGAGAACCACAGAATGTGGGAGGGGGAGAGATACAGGAAACTGAAGACCAGCAATGATGATTTTTTGGAAATTAAAGATTCCATCCCCCCCTTGCCATCTTGTGATACCCAGTGGCTTCTCCACAATGAAGGGGAGTTTATGGGAGCCTCTAAACTTTGGGGGGGGGGAGCAGGATTGGAAACATTTGATTTTCAAAAAGCGACTGCAGGCATAAAACTGTGCAATAGGATTTCAGTCAGTATATTTATCCTGCTTTTGCAGGGAATGTATTTGAGGACTGAGCTGATTTTAGTCAACCAGTTCCTTTTTCAAGAACATTGTAAGCCATGTTGTTAAGAAAGGTGCCTATGTTTGTCAGTGTAAGGTTCTGATTATGTGCAGAAACCCTTTTCACCAGTGAGTCACTCAAGGCCTTATCCTCACCTCATTATCTGAAATCAGGGTCAAAGGACTGAAGAAGGCAAAGTGTCCAGTAAGATTTAAAGTGCAACAACTCACTATGGGGGGGGGATTGTACTGTTGTGTGTTGGATGGAACAGACATTCCTCTGAGGTACATGCAGAGTGCCTTTCGATCACTGTGGAGTAATTTTTATACATCACTGCCTATATGTTCTTGGAGAGTAAGCTTCTAGGTGAGAAAATGGGATTTGCAGGCAAGTATAACTAATTGTTAGTGGTTAACAGCCATCTCTCTTCACCTTTTTTATTAATTTTTTTGTTTCAATCTAAAAACTTTATACTAACTTAAATCTCAATTTGTAACAGTTTTAATAGATAAACAGTTTGAAATAAATGTATATACGATGGGAGAATTGTGAAGACGGACCTTGACAGTGGACTTGCAAGCAGGATCTCAAAAGTCAGCTTTATGGCTCAGATAGGTTTCAAGTGGAGAGTTCTGAATAAATGTGATCCACAGGGCTCAGATAGATTTCTACCTGAGCCATAAAGCTGAGCCATAAAGCTTTATGGCTCAGGTAGGTTTCTAGTGGAGAGTTCTGAATAAATGTGATCCACCTTGAGCAAGAACTGGCGATGTCACTCCAGTATCTTTGCCAAGAGAACTTCATGGACAGAACCAAAAGACTAAAAGATATGATGCTGGAAGATGAGCCCCTCAGGTCAGAAGGCATCCAACATGCCGCTGAGGAAGAGCGGAGGACAAATACAAGTACCTCCAGAGCTAATGATGTAGTTGGGGCAAAGCCGAAAGGACACTCAGCTGTGGACATGCCTGGAAATGAAAGGAAATACTGATGCTGCAAAGTAAAATACTGCATAGGAACCTGGAATGTAAGATCTATGAACCTTGGTAAACTGGATGTGGTCAAACAGGAGATGGCAAGAATAAACATTGACATCCTGGGTGACAGTGAACTAAAATGAATGGGAATGGGCAAATTCAATTCAGACAATTCTCATATCTACTATTGTGGGCAAGAATCCCATAGAAAAAATGGAGTAGCCCTCATAGTCAACAAAAG